GACCAAATTCAAACTGGACAGAAGGGAGGCTTGGAGTTATCATCTACACTTTGAGACAAAAACTATCAGGGGCCCGGCTGTTGTGGCAAGAAAATATTGGTCAGCAGACAAATCCTCGAAAAGAATATCTTACAGATTCTTACAGGGAAAATTATTGGGACATCTACATAAAAAGAATCTACATAAAAGGCTCAAGTCGGTGAAATCTCCCATTTTCTTCTTGAGTCCCCTGAAACATACCCTGAAATCCTCAAGTTTGCCCCACCCCATGAGCTGAGCCTAGCACCAGCAAGTTGCGGGTTTTCGGATGTTCCGTTCCAATGCCACCGCGGCCTTCCTGCCCAGCCTGAAGGAGGGTCCAATGGTCGGAAGGATGGTGGTTCCATGATTTGTTCTGGGCCAAGGAAAGTGGAGTTACGTATTGATTGGTCTGATTTTTGGGGCCGGCACCCAAAGAACGCACCATTTCATACGCTGCCAGGAAAAACTCATCAGTTCACGGGGCCCTTGTCTACGGTGGGTAGAAAAAAATACGGAACCATCGCCAAAGAGCATCCCCAGCAGTGGGAATCAATTGGAGGTCAAATTTCTGGAGTATCCCACACCCAAGCCCCAGCTTCCCCCGTTCCAGCGGCATCAGAAACACCGAGTCAGATGAACACTGAAAAATTGGAAGGACAACTGATAAATAGGGCATATAGGGCATACCCAATCTGCAATACAAAACTTCATTGGGAATATCATGACCAGCCAGTGGATTTTTGGTCCATTGCGCGCATTGTTTGGATAAACCCAAAGTTGCCCTGCATCAAAGAGAGCTCACTGCAGGATGTCATGCTCTTGGAAGGTTCACACACTTCAAGGGTTCAGATTCAAGCTTAGCCTCTTGGAATCGAACACTACAATGGAAAATTCTTCCGTTCTATGAGGCAACCATCTTTCAATCAATATCATTAGATAGATTAGATATCAATAAGTAAAAATTCGTAAAAGGGTTGGCAGAATGGGAGTTCCCTGACATACCCTCTTTGCTTTGAGGTTCCACCCATTCCACCACAACCTGTAAGGCTGCTCTCACCAAAGGAGTTGCCTGCCAGAAATGGTTGGATTCTAGGGGAGTTCAGCGGTTTACAGTACGATCCCCTTTCCTTGGAAACCATACAGCATATTATCAGCAATGAAACCTTTTCGTCCAAATAGGTCTCAAATATTTTGTCCCCACACCCGACAGGACATACCAATCTACGAGCTCGTTCGAAAGTGACCCTCAGCGTCCCCACAAAGGCTCAACTTCACCGGACTTCAAAACTATTGGGGGTTCATTCTCAAGTTCAGCCTACAACATCTACACCACATAACCAATGATAAACGTCATCAAAATCCGTCTCCAGTTGCGGTTTGAGGGAAGATCTTCCATCCCAGCAGGGCTGCCGCACGCGATTCGCCCGGCCCTGGAGCTGTTTGAGGCGTGTGCGGTTCGGACCTTAAAAGGTGCGGTGGTCATTTTTTCAGCATCACCTGACCTCAGGGCGCATCATTTGAACAATTTAAACACTCTGAAATGAGCCTGTTAAAACATCAAAGGCTCCCATCACCAATCTTGATCATGCAGGTTACATTTAGCTGTCTATCCCACTTCGTAGGTGGTGATGTGTAATATCTCTTGGCAATAAGTCCTCCAACTATCTCCAACTAAGATAACCCTCGTTACAACCGGAACTGTCACCAAAGTCTTTTCACCATACAGTATATTAAGTGGCATGCGCATCCAAGCGCAACAGGCTTCCTTGCCATTCTATGAACATCACCTCTTGCTACCGAGTCGTCCCATGAATCTAGCTACCGACAGGTGATGTCTCAATTCTCAATCCCCTTAGATAAAGGTTAGAGAAGAATCCCGGTATACTAAACGGCACAATCCAAAGCTTGCGCCCACTCAAGCTGGCTAAAACTCAGTCCCAAACTGCTGGCAGAGGCCAACAAATCCAGCCTAAGTTGGGAGGCGATGCGGGAGATTTTTATGGTATGTTTGGTACTGGTCGAAACACCAAACGAATCAGTTTCCGATCGCGCTGGGTCCCATTGGTCCCATGTAACCAAACCCTTCGACATCTCAGCGATGAAAAGTTCCTGCTAGTTCTGCAGGTCTCACCACAGTTCCCTCTCCGGATATTGCCATCCCTCTGAAACTTCTCGGGTGCCCAGCTTTTTGTAAAGATTGAAGGGATTGTCTGTGGCATCCAATCCTCAGTCCAGCCACCGGCTTTTGAGCTTCAGCCAACACTTTCCGGACAAGTCATCCTCTGCTAACCCAACTTCCAACCGCTTTCAGACCCTGAGATCCTCACCTAAGTTGCCGTTTCATGGTTCTTAAGGTACCAACCAGTTCACTGTATTATCGATGTTTAGCGATTTTCGGATGGGACCTGGTCAACAAGCCTCCGGTCATACGTCCCCTTAATATTCGATGGTGGTTCAGAACTTGAAATATGGTTACTAAAACCAATTCTATAATCCCTTCCCCCAGATGTTTCTGGCAAATTGGGGACTGCTATTTTATTTGGTTTACCACCAACCAGTGTTTTTGCCAGGAATTGATAGTTTTTACGACCACCTCGGGATTATCCACATCTTTCAATGACTGATACCCCGAGATAAAAACTAGCATAGAAATGGAAAACACCCCTGGTCTTCAGCCAAACAAACCTCTACCTTCATGGTGGATTGTCCATATCGTTGTGCCAATTCGCTGGAGGCTAAACCCATACTAAACCATCCCCATCAAAAACTATCGCTATTCAGATGCTTAAACTAGTTAAATCCTATGATATCCAATAATGTTAAGCCTCGATTAACAAGCCCCTGGGCTGTCTAATTGGAGGGTACAATTTTGGTAGCAAACTATCACTGTTTCGGTCTGTTAGGCTCCTCCCCCGAATGAATCAGGCGTTTTTAAATGGATATTGACGGATATTGACATCAACTGATGATTTTCCGCCCATGAAACCCCGTAAAATTGTCCTCTAAACCTGGCTATGGCTAGCTATTTTCATGTTTTCGATGCTCCACCGGAGCAGCTCCCAACCTCCAGGCTCCCGCACGGCCGAAGCGTGCCAGAGTGCAGTCCGGATCGAAGAGTCGCATCAGTAAACTGTTGATCCGCTCCTGGAATCGGGGGATTTGATGTCTATGATTTGGGGATGGGTCTGGTACCCCTGGTACCCCTGGTGAACCCCAAAATAGCTGGGATTTATGGATGTGAATAACCCACTAAAAATGTATCTATATAGGTATTGACCCATACCCATTTCTATGATTTTGATGTATAACAAAATCTGGAATCTAAAAATCAGGTGCTTTTTTATCTAATTATTTGATTTTTCTGTTTTCTTGAGCCAACAAAATAATGGAATGTTGTTTGAAAGATTTGACCAAAAATCTTGGATTTTTTGACACCACAAGGGGAAGTTGACCAACTAAAATGGAACTTGAACCAACTGGTGTTGAACCAGCAGAAAATGGTGGCCTGGTCAGATGAGTGGCTCAGCGAGATTTCAGGGGGCTACACCAAGAACTTGGGGGTTGACGCAATCAGATGATGGTTTGAAAACAGCAAAAATTTATAAAATGGTGAGAACCAGCTGAGAACTTTCAATTGTGTTTTTGAAAAATTCGGGGTGTGCTTCGGTTTTGATTGGAGCTAGTGGACCAAAAAAAAACA